TTTTGGTCTGTGGTGTGTGTGTGTTATATACATAACATACAGACTCTCTCTCTCTCTCTCTCTCTCTCTCTCTCTCTCTCTCTCTTTCTCTCTCTCAAGCTTATCTGTTAGAGAGGGGGCTTTACAGACAGAAGAGGCTATGCCATAAAGAATGATTAAGTCTACCTTGATGGGAAAGGGGACCTATGAAAGATAAATAATTCCCCCCATACACACACATGCTATACCTCAAAGAAGGGGAGGTGGGCTTCATTGCAAGAGAATTGGGACACGGCAAAGCAACATAGCAAATTTGAGAGGTAGAAATATGTTTGAGGAATTACCTATGCTGAGTGTATGTCCCATGTCTGCCTATTACTTAAAGCCATGCATTATCTCAAATGCATTGGACAAATTATTCTACCATTCAGAGTTAGGCCAAATGATACACAGTGTCCATTCTTCTAAACTCTAAACTGAGCACTATAAAAGTCAGAGGGGTCAGGCATCACCTGGACAGCTACAAGCACCAATGGTCCATGTTTGCAGAGATGCTGAGGGACTCAAATAGCACTAATGAGGCAGCTCTTTGGTAGTTAGGGGTAGTTCGTAACCATCACTAAACCTCCCGATTATTGACATGGATAAAGATTCATATATGCCATATATATATTGGCATCCAGGTATTAACTGTGGTAGTTTGGATGTAATTGGCCCCCACAATCATATAGGGAGTGGAACTATTAGGAGGTATGACTTTGTTGGAGTGGGTAGGGACTTGTTGGAAGAATTGTGTCACTATGGGGGTGGGCTTTGTGATTTCCTATGCTCAGAATACTGGCCAGTGTATGAATCAACTTCCTGTTGCCTATAAATTCAGGAGTCTCAACTACTCCTCCAACACCACACCTGGCTTTTACGTAGGTTCTGGGAATCTAAACCCAGGTCCTCAATGCATCCATAGCAAACACATCTTCCTCAGTCAATCCAACCTAGGGCTTGGATCATACAGGATTTATTTTTATTTATTTTTATTTATTTTATTTATCCATAAGGATTTATTTTTATGATCATTCTCCATAAAATCTAAGATATCATTAATGTAGGATGCACTGTTATTCATGAACCACTAAGAAAATGTGTTTTTTAAGCTTTCACATATTGTCACCATCTTATACTCTAGAAACAGGTGCATGGATAACATACATAATTAGTAGCTGGATTGTGGCTAACTGGGCAACGTAATCAAGTCTTTGTCACTTAGTTCTCCTTTAGGGCCAACCCTCATCAAAGCCATCTGTAGTTCTGGTTGGTCCTTTGGAAGCTGGAGAGAGATCAGAGGAACTGGGTCATCACACACTGAGGTCAGCTCATGTATTCTGTCTTCATGGTTTGTTTCTCCTAACAAGTGAGGGGAAATCTTCCCTAGGACTGAAGAGGGGAACTGATGTAAATTGTAACTGACACACTGTTTAGGTCCAAACAACTATTGATTCTGAATCTTGCCTTTCAGATGTTACAGGCAAACACACAACTACTGAGGGGCATTCCCAAGGTTGGGGTGATGGGAGCATCACCTCTCATAGTTTGCAAAAGAGTATCTTCCCCTGCCACTGACACTGCCTGGTCCCAGCTGCCATGGAGTGTGGCAGTGCTGGCTTCTGGATGAAGAATGAATGAGTTCAAATCCTGGCCCTTCTAAATTATTGAGATCAATTTCTAAACAAAACATAGCAATTTGAGCATGCTTTCATGACTTAACAGCTGCTGGACCATCTCTCCCTCAAGCTTTACCAGCCCAGCAGCTGTGAAAACTCTTGACCCTAATTAGTCACTGCTGTGGGAACATGTTAGAACTTGGGTTTCTATTTCTTCTTTACTTCGTGCTGAGTGTTTGCTTGCTTGCTTTTTTCAAATCAAAAATTGGAGGCTGGATATTTTCCCTTCATTAAGAGATTTGAAAGCACTCTCTAGGAATTAGACATGTCTCTGTGTCTCTGAAGTCATTCACACACATTTGAGGCAAAAATACTGTAAATTGTGACCCTGGGCATACATAGTTTTTAAAGGGCCAATATTGGTTTAACACCTTTTTATGGCTTTAAATACCTTTCATTATAGGATTGACAGGGAATGTCCAAGGGAAGTTGTGCTCACATTTAGGAACCCTGTTGGCTCTTATAAATCAGTTTTCTATACAAAAGACACTCTACTAAAATATATGGAAGGAAAAAATGTAGGGTTTGGCTGTAAAGATTATACTCTGAGATAAATGATGTATTCTGATCTCTCCCCTATCTTCGGACCAATCATGTAACTTCACAGAGTGATTCCTCAACTGTGATGCCTAGATGAGAGATAATAGCTACCTTGATATGTACTCATGAGAGATAAATGATAAGGGCATAAAATATTCCAGTGTTATAAAATGTCCTTCAAATATGAGCTGTTGCATTGTCAGAAGTTAGTGATATTTAGTAATTAACATCTATTTGCTTAGCAATCCTACTTGAAAGACAGGAGAGAGATAGTCTATATTACTCTGCCAAGTTGACAACTCAGATGGGTCCTCCTCACTCTACAAAAAGTACATAAACTGAGTACTGTTGTGTGTGTGTGTGTGTGTGTGTGTGTGTGTGTGTGTGTGTCTGTGTGTGTGTGTGTGTGTGTGTTGCCTTGTTCAACGAGACATGTTAAAACTCTGGGGGGGGTTGAAAAAGAGAAGTTTAAGCAGGATTTGTTTTGTTGTTTTTCAATTTTAAAAGACATTTTCTCCATCAATTCTATACTCATCTGTAATTAATCTCAGAGTTTTCAGAGACCTGAGTCACCAGCTTTGTTAATGTGTGGTAGATAGTGGAGATTTTTCAGGGCAGAACCCAGAAAGTTTCCAAACCCATTGCCTCTGCAGCCTCTCCATCCAGTCCCTCCCTCCTCTCATCCCTGCCTCTTCTTGAGCTGTTGTCATTGGCAGCCTTTTCCTTGTGGTTGCTCTTCGGTGTGGCAGTTTGCCAGCCTCTCCTCTCTTGGGTCTGGTGCTCTCCTGCCACAAGCATCCTGGCAGTGCCTCTCAGGTGAACGTGGCTTTGCTCAAGCTGCACCGGAGCACTACCAGGAACTGTGGCTTGGGGAGTTTCCAAAATAGCAGACCAGAATCATTCCCTGGGTGCCTGCTAGAAGACACTCTGCATTTGTCTTTGCAGCAGAAGGTAAATGAGATGGGAGGGTTGTATGCTCTGAAGGGAAACGCCCACCGCACAGATACAGTGATGACCAAGATGCCAGCTGCTTTCCTGAAGATCTCTGTGAGGCATAGGCAGCCCTCCACCCTGAGAGAAAGCCAGAGTGACTAGGGTGGCTTTCCTGAATACATGGAGTCGTAGCTAAGCAGTTCTCACACGACAAAAGAATTCCCAGGGAGAAAGGATGCTCCGATAAATAGTCAGCCCATTTCATTCATATATTACGGTATTTTACCATAAGTGTAGGTATTAAATGATGGAACTAAAAAGTAAAACACAATAACTTACCTAAATAGGCTAGCTATAGAAATTTCATCCAGAAAAACAATCCCATATTTCACTTAGTCTGATACTGGCAGGATATCATATCTATGACAAGTGTCATAGAAAGTGGCTTGAGTCCTGAGGGAGTCCTGTGGGTCAGCCTATTAAAAAGGGGTCCCCAGGAATAACCCATAGAGCCATAGAGGAGTGGGCCTAGGGAGGGCAGGAAGCCCAGCAAGGGTGGAGCGTCTGTCTTACAAGCTCTGGTAAGAGAGCTCCCACTGTGGACTGTCTCTCTTATTGAGGCAGAGCTGAAGTCTGTATTCCTGGGTATGCCAGTCACTAGCTGAGAAAGACAAGGACAT